TATAAATAGCATTTTCCGTCAAAAAACAATGCTATTACTTTAAGTACATCGCTTAAGAAGTTTGAAAACCAACCGCTGGTGGCATTCAATCTTGGACAACATTGGTTCGATGGTGTGCAGAAATAACCGGCAGGACAAAAAGAACCACCAACGCACGCTGAAAGGATTTTTTTCTAGATTTCAACAGGATTTAAATTCGAAGAAAAACACCTGCCATTTTCAAAGGTTGTGAAGAAAAGTCTTTGAAGAGTTGCAAATTACATAATTATTTCTGTTCATAATCACTTTGGATTGTTGATTGCTCACTATTTCGCGAAAACTTGTTTAAAAAGCCTTTTTTTGCGCGTAAGCCAAGAAAATGGTATTTCTAGAGAAGATTACAACATTCTATTTGAACCCAACACCTTTTGAAGTTTCTTTCGAATTCATACGCCTATGTACTCGAAGAGAAGACCTTTAATTTTCAGAATATATTCCCATCAATAGACCTTTAAGATTACGTCTACTGAGAATAGTGTGCGCAGTACATACACAAGTACAGAATTCTTACGTTGCTTGTCATGAGCAAAATAAGGAAGTTGTAACTTTTATCAGTCTATGTTATTAGGACAATCATATGAGGAGAATTACTTGAGTTCTGTATTTGTATTGTCTAAGTACATTTGTCATATGTTGCTTCATTCTCACATCAATGGCTAACGGGCTCTAAAGAAAAGAAACTGATAACATCTCTATTTTAATTCTAATTTTCCGGTACTCCATTTCAGAGTCACTTTTAAATTTTTTCACCAATTTCTCTGCACCTAATCAAAATTATTTTTTCCATGAGATTAAGCAGCTTAAGATCATTATTTGCAAGCGGGCTTTAGTGTTTTTTTACTGAAGTTTTGAAGCAGGGTATTTTTCTGATAGACTACAGTAATAGAGTGATTTTGCCTGTGCTTCAGACCTATACAAAGTTAGAGTCAAATGAGTAACTCACGCCCGAGAACAAGTGTACCATCAGCACACCTAACCATAGGTGGAGCTGTAGACTGAAAGGCTAGCGTGAATTGTGGTGGCAAGGTTCCTCCA